CCCGCGGGGCGGAGGCTTTGCCCGCCTGGGGTGCAGGCCTGGCCCCCCCAGAGCTGCCTGGCCAAATAAGCCGGTCCCCAGACGTGTCTGCGTGTGCGGGCGTGTGCGGGCGTGTGCACACGTGTGGGGGTGCGCGCGTGTGCACACGAGTGTGAGGTGTTGTGCGTGCGTGTTCTGCGCGTATGAGCACGTATGCGTGTGCGCGTGAGTGTGCGAGCATGTGCACGTGAGTGTGTGCGCGTGAGAACGTGAGGGTGTGTGAGCATGTGAGCGCGCGTGTGAGCGCGTGAGCGCGCGTGTGAGCGTGTGAGCACATGTGCGAGTGCGTGTGAACATGTAAGTGTGTGAGAGCGTGTGAGCATGCGTGCGTGAGAGCGTGTGAGGACGTGTGAGCATGTGAGCGCGTGTGAGCGCACGTGAGCGCGCGTGTGAGCTTGTGAGCGCGTGTGTGAGCGTGTGTGAGCGCGTGTGAGCGCGTGTGAGCGCGTGTGTGAGCGTGTGAGCACATGTGCGAGTGCGTGTGAACATGCATGTGTGAGAGCGTGTGAGCATGCATGCGTGAGAGCGTGTGAGGACGTGTGAGTGTGTGAGCGCGTGTGAGCACGCGTGAGCGCGCGTGTGAGCTTGTGAGCGCGTGTGTGAGCGTGTGTGAGCGTGTGAGTGTGTGTGAGCGTGTGAGCACATGTGCGAGTGCGTGTGAACATGCATGTGTGAGAGCGTGTGAGCATGCGTGTGTGAGAGCGTTGAGGACGTGTGAGCGCGTGAGCGCGTGTGAGCACGCGTGAGCGCGCGTGTGAGCTTGTGAGCGCGTGTGTGAGCGTGTGTGAGCGTGTGAGTGTGTGTGAGCGTGTGAGCACATGTGCGAGTGCGTGTGAACATGCATGTGTGAGAGCGTGTGAGGACGTGTGAGCATGTGAGCGCGTGTGAGCGCGTGTGAGCGCGTGAGCACGTGTGAGCGCGTGTGTGAGCGTGTGAGCGTGTATGAGCGCGTGTGCGCCTTGCGCGCTGCCCGGCTCACTTGGACACACGCGGGTGGTGACAGCAGCTTCCCTCCGCTCGGGCTGGTGTCTGGGTGGGAGGAAAATTACTCTTCATTGTTCCCCTTCTGATTTCTTCTTACATGAACATCTGTTTGGTTTTGTTAATTAGTTAATTAAGGAATTATAATAATGAAAGGCTCAAGGAGCCAAGGGACTGTGACTCGGCAAGCGAAGCCTCGCAGCTGCGCCCACCGGCGGCTTTGCCTCCGCACCCCCCGCGGGCACCCCCTTGCCAGTCACCCGGGCCGGCCCTCCTGCCCACCTGCCAAGACCAGGTCTGGCCTGGAGCCGGCTCGAAGCACCGGGTTCAGATGATCCTGCGGAGGCAGCAGGTTTGGGACGGGGGGCAGGCGGAGAGGGGAACAGCTTCTTCTGAGTTCTGGGGTCTCCTGCAGGGAGGGGCCGCAAGGCCGGGGCGGGGAGCGGAGCCAGGAGGCGGCCGGCGGGGCCCCCTCCTGTCCCGCCTCGGTGGGTGGGCTGGCCTGTCCCGGCCCTTCCAGCTGAGGCCATCGAGGTGGGGGAGGACGCCTGCGTCCCCTCCCCCACGGCCGACGCCTGCGTCCGAGTGGAGACTGACGGGGTGCACTGCAGCCACCCTGACGGGGCCGCGCCGGGCGGGCGGCTCCCCGGGCCTCGCGGCAGGGCCGCAGCTGGGCTCCTGAATTTGCGCAGGGGGCACCCGGGCAGTTGCCATGGAGCTGGCAGTGACATTTGGAGGGAAAATCGCTTCTCTGGGGCTTTTATTTATAACCAGCTTGATGCTCCGCGGCCCTGGGTGCCCGCGGCCTCAGCCGTGCCCTGGGCTCTGGCCCCGGTGCCTGGGGAAGGGGGGGCTGCTGTGGGGGGGCTCTGGTTGTCGGTGGGCAGCAGCTGAAACAGCCGAGCGATGGGAAGTGGGGTCTGGATGGGGCCCCGGAGCTGCCGGGATCAAGGACACCCTCTCACGGCTCAGCACAGCCAGGACCCGGGACAGGGCGCCGGCGGGGTCTGGTCCCTGAGGGTCCACTGGTGTCCAGGCAGCTGCTTTCCCAGGCCCTCCTCGACTTGAGTGTCCGGGTGTCCCTTGGGCCGGAGGGCTTCGGCGTGGGGTATACAGGAAGCAGCGCCCGGCTGCCCTGCTGCGCTTCTGACTCCATATTGGGGTGGAAAGAGGCAGGTGCATTTGGGGTTCACCCCCCGGCTGAACCCACTCACCTGCGGCAGTGCTGGCCGGAAATGGACAGGAAGGAGACAGGCCGACCCTGTCTTACGAGCACACACGCGTGCTAAGTGAACCGCGTGCCGGGAGCGGGAGGCAGGCAGAGCTGGGAGTGCTTCCTAGGCGCCAGCTGTGTGCCAGGCACCAGGACTCAGTGGAACCAGCTCTCAAGGGCTCCTCACCCGAGAGAGGCGAGGGCTGCATCGGAGATGCTGGCACGGGCAGAGCTGGGCATCCCCTGTAGGGAGGATTCTGGGCTTCCTGGAGGAGGCGACTCCGAAGCGAGGGTGAAGCCGTCTGGGCTGCCTGTGTGGAGAGTGGGCATCACTCCCCGGGGGGGCAGTAGGATAGAGCTTTGGGGCGCCACTGGCACAGCTGGGGTAAGGGGGGCGAGGGATGGTCCCTGGAGGGGCAGGGAAGGAGACGAGGGGAGTCCATGGGAGGTGGGCTCTGTGGGCTCGCAGCAGGGCCTCAGGCCTCTGCCCCCGTGCCCAGGGTGGCCGGGCCAAGGCAGGTCTGGGAGGCCAGCGCATCCCTGCTCACGAGTCGCCCGTCTCCCCACAGGTAGACCCCTACCTGCCGTATGAGTACACCTGCGAGGGCATGCTGGAGCGAATCCATGCCTACATCCAGCACCAGGTGCGTGGGCCTCGGCTCTCCGCCCCGGGGTACAGGGCTCCCGCCCAGAGCTGGGGGGCCGGGGAGCACCTGGGCGGGCAGCGGGCCGCTGGGCCTGTTTCGAAGCCGTGAGGCCCGGGGCAGACTCCTGGACCTCGGTGAGCTTCCTTCCTCCCCTACAAAATAGCCCAAGACGTCCTGTACCACTGGGGCCGTGGGAGTGTCAGGCGAGATAAGGCAGGAGGCACAGGGCCACGGGGCAGCCGCGGTCGCCCCGGGGGCCAGCCCCGGCGTCCTCCGAACCCGCTTTCCTCCTGGCAGGACTTCTGTGCAGTGACAGGCTCTGCGCCTCTAGGAGCCCGGGCCCCCCCGAGCCCCTTCGTCCTGGCCCCCAACGCCACCCACCTTGAGTGGTCCCGAAACGCCAGCCTCGCCCCGGGAACCTGGCCCCCCGCGCGCTCCCTCCGGGCCTGGCTGGCCGCCGCGGGCAGCGCCTGCACTGACGCCTGCCTGGAGCGGGGGCTGGTCTGCGAGCCCTCCTTCTTCCCGTTCCTCAACAGCCAGGACGCCTTCCGGAGGTCAGTCGCCCAGCTTGCTGCCCCCGCCCCCGGGCCAGGGCTCCCGTGGGTCAGGCAGGGCCCAAGAGAATTCCCCACCGGTACCGGTCACAGGGCCAGCGCTGGGCCTGGGGTCAGTGCCCCGGGGCCACTTCCAGCCCAGCCCCCGCCGCGGCCCTCCCCGGCCCCAGCTTCACCCCGAGGGGCCCCTCCACTCTCCCCGGCCTCCCCGCGGGCGGGTGGGATACAGGCCACAGGCAGGGGGCACCTCCGGGAAGCACCTGCCGCGGCTGGGGTGCGGGAGGGCCCGGGTGAACCGGCGCCCGTGCCCCAGGCTGCAGGTGCCCTGCGACAGCACCGAGTCGGAGATGAGCCACCTGTACCCGGCCCTGGCGCAGCCCGGCCGAGAGTGCTACCTGCAGAGGGAGCCGCTGCTCTTCAGCTGCGCCGGCTCCAGCGCCAAGTTCCGCCGGCTGTGTCCCTGCCGCGACTTCCGCAAGGGCCAGGTGGCCTTGTGCCGGGACTGCCTGTGAGGCCAGCCCTGCCGCCAGCACCAGCAGATCCGGAGCCCAGCGCCCCCCTCGGGCGGCCGGGGCAGAGCCACCCCGCGCAGGCTGGGGGGCAGGACGGCGCGTGGGGGGCCCCGGGGGGCCCACCCCCCACCCTCCACCCTCAGTGGCTCCGTGGCCCAGCAGATGTAGGGTGAGTTGAGGGTCCCCTCGGCCCAGAGCAGGCGGTCTTGTGCAGAGCCAGATCTGAGCGAGGCGGGGACCCCTGGGCCTCCCTGGGCCTGGACGGGGCCTCTGGATGCGGGAGGGAGCGGGGCAGAGCCGGCCGCGTGCTCCTACAGGGTCAGCCTTGTCCCTCTGGGTCGTTTGGGTGTGCACAGAAGGGGCAGGGCTGGGGCCAGGCCAGGCCAGCTGGGGACCCTGCTCGGGCCCCCTGGTAGCCCCACCTACGCTCCGACCTCCTCCCTCCCTCCTGCACTTGGGGACTGCGGCTGGGGCTCCAGGGGCTGTCCACCCCGCGGCTTCTCCCTCTGCTGCTGTCCAGTCTCTTTGCTTTGGGACGCCCCAGACGCTCGCCCTGGCATGATCTCTACTCCTGACCCTGGATTCGCTCCCAAAGCCCCATCCTGACCCCAGCTTCTGAGAATGGGCTCTGAACCCCACCCTGGGATCGAGCCCCTCAGCACCTTTTGCAGGCAAAGGCTTGGGGTGCATTTTTAGCCCATGGCACACCCAGCCCAGTTCCTGGCTGCCCGGCCCTGCTGGCCCCAGCGGCCCCCGCCCCCCAGTGCTGCTGTGCCCCGCCTCCACTTGCTCCAGTCTCAGACCACTCTGGATCCAGCCACCCACCTCTAAGTGGCATGCCTGCCCCGCCCAGGACAGCCCGCCCCACCCATAGCTGGCCCCTCAGAGACACTGCCCCCCCCAGCCTGAGTCTGCTCCCTCCCTGCAACCAGCCCCAGCCCCAGCCTCCACGTGCCAGGCAGCCAGGGCCCTGGTTGTGGGGGAGGGGCCCTGCGGTGAGCTCAAGGCGATGCCCCCCACCGGGGAGCCCTCTCTTGACTTGGGCGGCCCCCCAAGGCTGCAGAAACTAAGCGGTCACCGAGGATCTGACCTGTCCGGGGAAAGCAATAGAGACACTCTTTTCTCTCTCTTTTTTTAAAGATTTATTTCTTGAAATAATAAATATTTTATTGGGACGTGCGTTGCAGGGAGGAACCATGCTGTTTCTCATCTTTCCGGGGAGCGTGGGGGTGTGGGTGTGGCCCTGCTCCGTGCTGGCCGGCAGAGCTGGGGCCGGAGAGCTGGGGCCAGCAGAGCTGGGGCCGGAGAGCTGGTCCTCTCTGTCCCTGCAAAGACCCCTGGTTCCCTCCCACTGCGAGGCCTGGGGCTCAGACCGTGCTGGCCGGCAGAGTGCCCGTCAGCCCGGACTCAGTAATCAGGTGCCCTGACCTAGAGAGCGCGGGCCTGCACCAGGGTCCAGCCCGCGCTGCTCACACCGTCTGGACGGCTCATGTTGGGGCCACCCTGTAGGACGCTGGGCTCAGGGAGGCCAGAGTGCAGGGTACGCTGTGCTGAGAGCACGAGCCGGAGGCACGAGCCCCCTCAGGCCATGTGCCGCGCCTCAGGCACCTCATCCCCGCGGGCGGGGTGCTGTTATACCTGCATTGTACCACCGAGAAAGCCGGCACAGAGACTTTAAGTAACCTGCCCAAACTTGCACAGCTTGAAAGCAGTGAAGTGGGATTTGCTATAAGGGTGGGAGCTCCCAGGCTGCCTTGAGCACCAGTGGTGGAATGGGGTAGCCCCAGCGTGGTGCCCAGGCCACACGGGGCATTCATGGCCTCTCGTGCTCCCATGTCTGAGCCGCCCGTCTCAGGGGCTTCCTTCTGGCTGGCGCAGGTCATGGAGCTCCCAGAGACCAGTGTCCCACAGGGTGGCCCCAACTTGAGCCATCCAGACAGTGTCAGCACCCCCAACTGGACTCTGGTCCAAGCCAGCGCTTTGCCGGTGTGGTCATCTGCGTCCCGAGCCTGAGCTTATTGAGATTCAGGCCCTGATGCGACAGGTCCGGGGAGGCGCCTGGGACCTTGCTGTGGGTCCTGGGCCCCCACACTGCAAGCCATTGCGTGGGGAGGCAGGACGGGCAGGGACTCGTGGAAGCCACAGGCGTCCGCAGGCACAGTGACTTTCTTCTGTTCTAGCTCTGAAGGCTGCACAGCGACCCTGCTTCAGGGGGGCAGAGCAGAGCCACAGGCCCCAGCCGGCCTGGACACCAGAAATCCTCCTGCCCCCCACTTTTCAGATGGAGGCCCCAGGTCCCAGGACTGTAACAAGGCCAGAGCCAGTGCCCGGATCCCAGCTCTGGCCTCGGTCTCTGCTTAGCTCTGTGCTAGGAAGAGAGCGTGAGTGGTTACTTGCCGGGTTTTGTGCAGTGGCTGGGGGTGAAGAACACAAACCTGGCCAAGACCTGCTTTTCCTTTTCCTTTATTTTTTCTGAGCCTTTTTTTTTTTTTTTAAGATGTATTTACTTACTATGCACACAGAACTGGGGTACAGGCCAGAGATGTGGGAGGTGAGAGGAATGGGGAGCAGAACAGGCAGATAGACTGAAACATACTGCTGAGGGGGCAGCGGGGAGACAGGCGGGGTCGGCTGCCCCCTGGGGTCCCTCCCTGGCCGGGGGTCGCACTTGTGCTGCGGTGGCTGTGGGAAAAGGACAGGAGCGTCGGACACTTGCGTGGGCACCAGCGGGCGGGGGGCTGCCCCGGAGGGACAGGCTTGCCGAGGGGCTGCGCGGTCCGGGCGG